GGGATTTATATTTTTATATTTTGTCGCTTTAAATTTAAAGTGTACAGAGACTTTAATATTTAGGTATAAGGGTGTGGTTTTTATAGTTGTGGTTAGAATTATTTATAAACAGATGAATATGATTTTACATGTATTTGTTGCTGTGTTTAATATTGTGGGGAAAGGGAAAACCAAATCATACCTGTGGAAGTAAGTGCTTCTAAAAACTGTGGAAAAAAACATGAATAAAAGACCTTAATTTGTAGTTGTTGTGTTAAGCTGATCTCTAACTTTTATACTTCTTATAGGCAAGGGTAGAGGTCGACAGGTGATCGCTGTTGCCAGGACAGCAGATGTTGTCGTCATGATGTTGGATGCCACCAAAGGAGATGTTCAGAGGTTTGTGAGTTTGGAGAGCTTGGATGGAGTTTCAGGGACACACAAGTGTTTATTTAGAATTCTTATCCAAACATATTCTGTGTTTGGTTTTTTGTTTGTTTTTAGGGCACTTCTAGAAAAGGAGTTGGAGTCAGTGGGCATCAGACTCAACAGAATAAAACCCAATATTTATTTCAAGGTACAGTGTGTATATTTGTCTTTTTTTTGTCTCAGTTGGAATAACTGAAATAAGGAGATTGTAAACAGCATCCACTAACAGCCATTTGGCTGTTTGTTCTCTATATGTAAATGTTGATTTTATGGTGGCAATAACTACTGAAGGGGTTTAGCAAAATATCAACACAGCAGTCTGCTCTTTCCCTGACTCTTGCAATACATTATCAATACACTAAACATTTGCAGATATTTATATTTTTATCAATACATCTGTTCTAAATTCCTGCCAGTTTGAGTTACCGGAGTTAATCTTTCATGGTGCACATTAAATAAATAGAGTTGACTGTCTGAGACGGCGCAAATATCAAACATCCTGGACGGCAGAGTTATCTTTGAGTTACCTAATTGAACTGAGATATTATTAACACCGAATAACTCTAACTATACTTTAACTATAATAATTTTATTATTGTACAGCTGGTCCTTTTGGAGTTCACAGCAGATCATCTGCCTCCATCTAACCCTGTCTTTAGCATCCTCCTCTGTCATACCAACTCTCTACATGTCCTCCTTCACTTGAGTGTCCTCTCAGGTTTTCCTCTTTGCCTCCTGCCTTGCAGCTCCATATTCAGCATCCTTTGTCCAGTATAGCCACTGTCTCTCCTCTGCAAAAGTCTGAATAACTATACTAATAATACCCTATATGCACAAAGCAGTGATTTGATGTTTTCCTCTAAGTGATTCTTTGTGATGTGCGATTCTGCTTTTAGCTACAGACATCACGATATACCACAAATGACCACGTTATGTATCACTGGTATTTTTGAAGCTGGAAAACAAACATTAATTTCAGCGCAAATGTGCTTTTTTCTTCCCCTGTAGCCCAAGAAAGGTGGCGGCCTCTCCTTCAACTCCACAGTTCCTCTCACCCAGTGCTCGGAGAAGCTCGTTCAGCTCATACTTCATGAATATAGTATCCTTCGTTGATCTCTTTGATGTACATTTAGCCCAGTTAGCATTTCTGTGACATAATTTGTGAGTAGGCTGCAGAAGTGTCTGGTTATTCCTTTAATTCTGCTCCTCAGAAATCTTTAATGCAGAGGTTCTCTTCAGGGAGGATTGCACACCAGACGAGTTCATTGACGTCATTGTTGGGAACAGAGTTTACATGCCTTGCCTATATGTGAGTCAGTTAAAGCCTTGGACTTATTTAGAAGCTTCCTTGTTATTTTAGAGAGATTTGAGATGATTTTCTGTTTTTTGACTCATAACAAAACCTGGACATTTTCTATCAAAGGGAAATAATTTTGAGATATTGGGCAAATCTCTTGAACTTTGACTGTGTGTGTGTGTGTGTGTGTGTGTGTGTGTGTGTGTGTGTGTGTGTGTGTGTGTGTGTGTGTGTGTGTTCACAGGTGTACAATAAGGTGGATCAAATCTCCATTGAGGAAGTGGACCGCCTAGCACGCAGACCTCACAGTGTTGTCATCAGGTCAGATATCTTTCCACAGGTTCACAAGAAATAATCACCATAATGAATGTCAGTTAGCTAACTGGCTCCAGAGTAGAGTCCAAATCAAATCATGATATTTTAGGAAACTTTGCAATAACGCTCACAATTTCCGACAATGAAGGGGGAAAAAAAACTCAACTTTTTATTGATGTTTGCATGAACCAGTGTTTGTTCGTGTCATTAAATGAAGGATATTTTCCATCCTCCTTTTCCAGTGAGCTGCCACTGATGACACCACCTAATTTGAGTGCCAGCAGCAGCATTATATCCATGATATAATGGATATAATGTAATATAATATAAAGCATGATGCAAATGTGAACTCTAAAGCAGCTTAAGTTGTGTTAGTAACTTCTATCCACATGAAGCTAAGCTTGTGTGGGCTCCAGTGGCACTCGTCGTCTCCTTTGTTTACCTTTTAAAAAGTATTTTGACTAGTTGAAGGTCTCTGAAATAGCTCCCTTTAAGTGCCTTATTACTAAGTAATTGTAATCATGGGGGACATGCCTGGGAATCTAAACACATGACGTTGCTATAGCAATGATATTGCGATATGACATTTTTATATTACCGTATATAAAAACTTTGTGTTTGTGCACAGTCCAGTTTCTTTAGTCACTTTTAAAATACAAGAAACAGACACATAAAACCTGCTGGCTTAAGTAAAACAATGCAACTTATAATTGTGATTCACTCATGCTCGTGTAGTTGCAGCAGCACAGAAGGAATTCCTTTATTTTGCCTCTTTGGTCCCATTTTCAGCTTAATTAGAAGGTTGGAGGGATTCACAGAGTTTTTTTTTTTTCTCAAATGAGAGCAGTCACTTCACACCTTTTCTGTTTGTATGAAGGAGGTAAAAGTATCCTATTTTTCTGACTGTATGTTTCAGTTGTGGGATGAAGCTGAATCTGGATTACCTTCTGGAAAGGTTGTGGGAATATCTGGCTCTGATCTGCATTTATACAAAGAAAAGAGGAGGTATTCACATGTGCACACATGTATTTTTCTCTTAGTCATTTGTGAGACTTTTGTCTTACATGGATGAATATACACTAGATCTAAATTAATTTACCCTTTTCTGCTTTCTCTGTTAGAGCGCCCTGACTTTAATGATGCCATCATCATGAGAAGAGGAGCAAGTGTAGAACATGTGGTAAGGAAAGCGCATTTTCAAGTCAGATGCTTTTACACGCATAATAAGTTAGTAGCAAACTATGTGCACAGTCTAATTTTTGTCTTTAAATACTTGCAGTGTCATCGAATCCACAGAACTTTAGCCAGCCAGTTCAAATATGCCCTGGTTTGGGTAAGTTCAAGTTTCCTGGGTCAACGATCTTCAGAGACACATTTTCTGCTTGTCCTATGAACCGTTTGAGCTAACTCTGTACAATTGTACTCTTGACTAGAGTAAACATAGTCTGCTGACGTCCTGGTCACAGGGCATTTAGAACAGACACTTTCTTTCTACTAGAGATGTAAAGCAAAATTCTCATTTTGAAACATAGAGCAGAGAAGGCAAATAAATATACCGTACAGTTTACACTTGAACATGAAGCCCTTTGATTGAAGGGGAACTAAAATGTGTTGTCTCTCGGTCTTTTAGGGAACCAGTACCAAGTACAGCCCTCAGAGAGTGGGCCTAACGCACATCATGGAGCACGAGGATGTCATCCAAATTGTTAAGAAGTAAAAGAAAAGAAGAAAAGCTTCTGTTTGGACAGAGGAGGAACTCGCCAGGAGAGGAGGAAAAAATAAACTGTATAGTAGAGAATAAAAACAAAATAATACCCACCATCCTTATTTTGTATATGGAAATTAAGAGAGGCAGTGAATCAAAGCCCTTACAAGAATTGGATAAGGACAGAAAATGGTGCATTTTACCTTTTGATTAAGATAAAGAGAACACAAGATGCATTGATTCAGAGAGAACATGGATAGAATAAAGTCCATACAACATTTCCAGTCTTTTTATGTGTGTTTTATTTGTAGCCTTATCTCAATCTTAGATTGAGGTGCATGCAAACATGTATGTTTTTGTGTCCTTTATTATTATTATTTTTTGTTACACTTCTTTTGTCAAAGTAAAGATTACTTTTTGGCATTTTATTGTCTGACTTTGAATTTGGTCATTTATAGCAATAATAATCCAGTTAAATTGTATTTGCATAGCACAGGTTCACCACAAAAGTCGTCTCAAGGTGATTTGTAAAGAAAACGCCAACAATCAGAAAGTCCTAATGAGTGACATTCAGCTGTGGTGGGAAGGAAGAACTCCCTTTTAGCAGGAAGAGACCATCCAGCAGAATGAGGCTCAAAAGTTCATTATGTGAACATGCAATTATTTTTAATGAATTTGTTTTGCTATGTGAACTTTTTCCATTGTCAGAGCAATGATGCCTTTGAATTTATATGCTGAGTAAACAAACTTGTAGCAGCACTAGCGGTTCTATTTTATTCTACTTTCTGCTTTTACTCATATTTCTGTTGTAATTATGATTGTGTTTTGGACTTCATACCATTTATTTTTAAAGAATTAATAGTTTTCAGTTTAAGTGCATTATTAAGCAATTCAAGCTATGTAGCAAGCAATAGTACTATCCAAAAACCTCAAACCACCCTTTATTTTTTGAATAGTTTCATATTTTCTGGGTAAAATGGCTGCAGTAATTTATGCACACACATAAGTGTAAATGGAGTATATAGGGCAAAAACAGTGTTTCAACAATTCTAACAAATTTGAAAGTCAGTATTTGATGTGACCACCTCAGTCTTCAGGAATAGTTCTCCACATTTCTTCAAAGCTCTTCTTTGAAAAGTCGAGAAGTAGGCCAAAATAACAAAAATTATCATTGTCCAAAAATATATGAACCAAACTGCATGCCTACATCATCATAAGCTTAAGGTCAAGGGTGAGAAAAGGCAAGTCTTTTCCCTTCGTATGTGTCAAATTAGATTTGCACTAAAGCCACAGGCAACTCCCTTTTAAGTAGAAAGGCGTAGTGGTGGTCCCAAATAAATGGGAATCCTACAAAGGTCTAACTAACAGTGATAAAGACTATCACAAAAGGCCAGCTGTGACTTTAAAATGTTTTTGTCACATGAATCCTTCAGGTGCACAGTAGCTGATGGGGATGTCCCCTCTGAGCTCCCCCTCCCATACTGCCTCCATCCTTGCAGCCGAATTGTTTGTATAGCTGTATCCAACGCTCCAAAGCGAGCTGACCATTTGTCTTTCAGAAAGTGTGGATTCCCAGCCAATGGACCCCATTCACTCGCGCACACACAAGCATAATAGGGCCATTAAAAATTCACAAGCATCTCTTCAGTCTAGGAGACGAGGACTGAGTGGATGCGTTATACTAGAAAGAGAGAGAGGGGCTGTGAGTTGACAGGGTTGTACTTCAAGATGCCTTAAAGATGTCTCATCGAGTGTGTCATGGATGGAGACATTCTGCTTTGAAATTATCTGAGCAGGAGAGGAGAGATGGTGGAATGATATCGTGGTGCAGAAACAGAAACAAAGGTACTGTTGGCTGGGTGTGTGCTGAGTGGTGCAGGTATGACACTTGATGCTGCTCCATATGGCATGGCTAAGCGTGAGTGAGTGTGTGGGGTGCAGGTGTCCATGAGCTAGAGTTGTGTCCTTGTTCATTAGCTGTTTAAAGCAATGAGCTGAGAGAGCACATTTAGTGTGTGAGAGGAAGAAGTAGCTTGTAATTCCTGGATGTAAATAACTTTTTTCACAGCTTAGTGAATAACCGTTAGAAACACTTGACTGGGTTACCTATGAGTCACCAACGCATCTATAGCTCCACAACTGCTGCACCTTGTGGTTAACTGAAACCAAAAGTGCATCTTACCTTTGAGATAAGACAATCATAACATGAGGGCCAGGGTCATGACCTGCTGAGACAGTGTGGCTGTTTTTCACACTAAAAGTCTTTCCTGTCTCTCTACTGCAGCTATCATAGTCTGTAATTTTTTTCTGTTCTTATATTTTTTTTCTGTTTTTAGTTTAGACTGAGGTTGTTTTGTTTT